ATACGTGCATATATAACTTTCTTTGAGATGATAACTTCCTTTGAGACTTCTGCTTCTGAACTTGGCTGCAATCCTGTGAAAGATTCAGAAGCCTTGAGCATGCATCTTCTACACAGTGACTGATTGACTGGTCACATTGCAAAATAAGGCAAATTCAAATAGTCTCAGCTTATTTGCAGAGGTTTGCATTTCATGCTATCTCCTGGGCAGCCTAGTGAGTTTATAAAGTCTCTGTAAGACAGAAATCTTAATTTGTGATAGTTTTGGGGTTTTTTTTGACTTTCAGAATTTTATGCAAGAAGGCATTAGCCTAGGTGGTGCTTTGGAAAAGTAAACTTATGGTCCCCTCCTATTGTTATTTCAAGCTGGTGTATGTGACTTTAATATCAACCCGATTCTGCCATTTTTCTTTTTAAAGCACCAATTTTAGATGTCAAGCTCATGCTAAATATATTGAGTTTTCTATGTGATTATAATTGGATAACAATTGCTTGAAGTACCCAATGAGGAGCTTGAGAGCAGTCAAAACAGTAAGAAATTCATCTTGTCTATCACATTGGTAGGCAAAGGTAGTGTAATAGTGTAGTAAGTTCATAGGATAATTCAGGTTAGAAAAGTCATCAGGAGATCATGTAGTCCAAATGCTCAAAGCAGAGGAAGCTGTGAGGTCAGACCAGGTTTCTCAATGCTTTTATCCAGTTGTCTGAACATTGCCACACTCTTAAGTTGCAAGCCTGCTTGGGAATATGTATTAAGAGATGATTTGAGACTTTCATTGTTTTTCTTTTTAAGATTAGATTACTTGTTTTGGAAGTTTGAGTTCACTTTTAGCTTTCTTTTCAAAATATCACTGAGAGATGGGAAGATGAGATTTGTGGAAGAGACCACCTGGAGCTGAGATTTGGAAAAATCACATTAGCTTTTTCAAAGGGAAGGTATGAAAGGAAAACCTGAATTTGCCTAGAAAATGGAAAAATAGGTTGGTTAAAGCAAGCTATTTAACCTTGGTGGTTTTTAGTCAAACTTCATGTTTTATGGATTACTAACATGGATTAATTGTGTGTGCAGAAAGTGTCAGTAGTCTAAGCACAAGGATGTCGCTTCATTCAGAATTGTTCAGAGAAATCCAGCAGCTGGTAAACATACTTTTCCTCCTTTCTTTGTGTTACTACATGTTAATATGGTAAAACTAGATCTTTGAGAGTGCTACTTGAATAGTGAAAATAGATGCTGAGACTTCTGAAGGATACTGAGATTTTCTCAAAATAGATGTCATACTGCTTTCATGGGAGCCCAGCAGTTAAAAAAACCCCAACAACTAGGTTATCGGTTGCTAGGTCGATAAACTCAAATAATATTTCAACTGAAACTTGCCAGCTGATTAGAGTGATGTAGAATCTTAAATTTTTAATACATACATTTTTAATTCATTATTGTACTTGTAATGTTGAAATAAGGGGGTAGTCTTTGTAATAACTAAGGTGGAGTTAAGATGACATAGAAATAGTGCTTGGGGATTTTATTTATGATATGCTTGTCAGCATTGAATGTCTTGAAAACTTTCTGTTTGCTTCTAATCTTAATATCAAATTCACATTTTTTTTTCCCCTACAGCAGCGTACTTCAGTTTATACTGGTTACTTAAGAAGTGTGTTTGGTGTGGGGTTTTTTGGCAGGGTTATAAGAGCTTGGCTGTCTTACATGATGAAAGTGACTCTTAATTTTGTTTGGCAGCAGGCTGTAGGAATGTGGGAATGTGGGGATTTCTTCCCAAGAGCAGATGTGTGGTTCAAATAGACAACTCAAACCCTTCTGAGTTGATGGTTATTAACGTATTCCAGATAGGAACATGGAAGCCATCCTATATTAGCCATCTAACCACATGGAGGGTTTCTTCTTAAGTGTTGTGAATAGTAGCTTAGCTTCCATAGTATGACTACGTATCCTTTTCAAGTATATTACTAATGATAAAGTAGTTGATAGTGAAATTTGCAATTAGGTTATTTACTTTCCTCTGAAATGTTATGTAACAGACAGGTGATGACTGTGGAATTACTTTATATTTTTAATTTGTTGCTGTTATTAATGAATTTAATTTCTCATATGAAGCTATAACGTTAGTCCTTCTATTTCTTCTTTATATATGTCAGTAGTTTTGCTATTTTATTTTTTTTTTCCTCTTTCC